TTTTTGTTTTTTTTGTCTAAAGCTTAAAACTTACTAAAAAATTTGTAAAGTCAGAATATTTGTTAGGGTTAAGTGCATTTAAAATCCTAACATTTTGTGTAATTGAAAATAAAACTCAACTTTTTCAAGGTTTGGTATGGCCGGAAACTGATTTTGAGACACAATTGCAATATTTATTAAATGTTTGGTATTCTTTTGCCAAATTGAAAAAGTTGAGTTTTATTTGCAATTACACAAAATGTTAAGATTTTAAATACAATTAACCCTATTGGTTAATACTAATGCTCCAATTGACATTGCAAATCTTTTTCCTTTTTTTTTTTAAAAAAAATTCCCTGAAAGTCAGAATATTGGGTAGCTAATTATTAATGATATTTTCTGCCAAGTGTGAATATTGCAACTCTTTTTTTTTTATTTTTTTAACAAAAAAGGAGGCCGAAGGCCTAACAGTTAACGAGAACTTTGGCGGGGTAACCCCTATCACATCATGCTCGAACTATTAAAAAGGCTAATAACAGCGTTTTGTGATAAAAATCATGGTTTAGTATAAAACTTATGCACTCGTGAAGTCGGGTCTTCAGTTGTTATAACTAAAAAGATTGGAGAAAATTAAATTAATGCAGTAATTAGGTTAATTTTGTATGTTGGTATCATTTACTTTTCATATTTCTTCTTTATATCTACAACAAAATTACTGCTAGACTAACTTAACTGTTAGACATATTCTTTTATCAATCATGCATCCTCTCTATCCCCTCTATATATAATTGCAGAATGAGCTCAGCCCAAGTGACAGTTTCACATGTTTCAGAATCCTACTTGACGAAAAAACATGTTTCGTAGTATGGTTTGAATAAAAAATAATATTATTCTAAATAATTATAAGTTCGGATATTCCAAAAATATTGAAAAACTAACTTGGTAATTCCATAATAGTTTACTAATATAACCCTTATGTTGTATGAGAATCTTTGGTAATTATACTGATTGACTAATATAACTTTAATTTATTTTGGAAGTTCTCAATCGGCTCATTAATTTCTGAAGACCTCAAATTTGCTTAATAAATACATATATTTAATTTTAAACATATTGTTATTATTATTATTATTTAATTTTAAAAATAATTTTCTTAACAATTACTCGTGTAGTACACATGTATTGTACTAGTTATATTTAAATCAAAATTCGTATTATAAAAAACAACAAAATTAATTTTACATTCGTGCTAAAAAAAAGTATGATAAATCGACCCATCTATTTGTTAAGCATAAAAAAATTTACAAATTTTAGTGTTGGTGGAAGCAACCACCACTCATTCAATATGGCAAAGATCCAACCAAATCAATTAGTTTAATAAAATAGAAATTGTCAAATTACATTAGAAAAAAAAAAAGCAATAAATAAAATAAAATGTTGATGGACTTATGGAAATTTATTTAATTTCAAAATAAAATAAAAAAAAAATTGCCTTGAGAAAAATAATATATTAATTGGAGTAGGTGTAGGCATGCATATTATTAATTTATTATTACCTCAATGTAGCCAAGACGTTCAGGGTCAAGCTCTTCCATTATTAAGGAGGCGTATTCTTTTGCACCTTCTTTCAAATTGGACAGCTTATTTGCGGATGCACTCAGCATTATTAGCTGTAATTGGGGGTCATAATCAAATTTCCACAAAACTTATTTGCGAAATGCTACGGTCCCGTTACGGAATCATTCCGTCGGGATTTGTAACTGTCAGGTCATCTATCCCGACAGTCCCATGATGATCTAACAATCACAAATCCAACGAAATGGTTCCGTAACGGCATTTTCCATATATATATATATATATAGATTTAAAAAAGTAAATAAATAAAGATGAAGAAAAATGTTGTTGCCCAACGAAATAAACATTGTTTTATTATTATTATTATTACTTGCATTTATGGAAGTCATCGCCACGAGTTGCTGCAAGTTGTTGTGATTAAAGAGAGTCCATACAAATTAAAAACAATACTAAAAGCACCAAACACGACTGTGTTGTTTATTTCCAATTAGGTAGAGCAAAAAGAAAAAAAAAAAAAAATGACACTTAATTAAAAGCGCTGTGTTTTATGTCATTCTTTTTTTTTTTGGTCATTAATTACATTAATTAATGGAAGTTATATTTTGACAGGCTAAATTTTAATTTGAAAGCGAATAGGTCATTATAATATTTATTTATAAAACTATGTAGTATATATTTTTACGGTTTTGCTATAAAGCCAACAGTTGGCTCCACAGTGGAGCCAACCTTCTATAAACAATAAGTAAACCTACAATATTCTCTGATTACTTAAATAACATTAATATTATTTTATTAATATGGTAGGTCTACTTGTTGTATATATAATGTTAGCTCCACTATGGAGCCAACTGTTGGGCTTCATAGCAAAACCGTATTTTTTTAATAATATATTTTATTATAAAATAATAAAGAATATTTGGAGAATATCTATTTTGGTGCAAAATTTAGAATGTATTATTTCACAAATTGCTATGTGACAATGTAGTACTAGTGATTGGTGTATTTATTAGTTTTTATGTCAATTGATATTTTAGGAACTACCAAAGCTAATCATCAAGCCAATATTTCTAACCTAATCTTAGTGTACATTTTCATTAATCTCAAGAAATGCAATAAATAACTAATTTGAAAGTTAAACTTATCAAGAATACAGCTTCAATTAATTAATCCACACATGCATTTTGAGTTTTGACCTAGCTAGCTAGATTTTTTTTCTCAATGGTTTTATATATGTATATATAAAAGATTTGGTTCAAATGAGAACCAAATCCTAGCGGGGGAACTGTGAGAACCGCTATTTTTAATTGTATGTAGTGCTACAAATAATTGTGTTTTTAGTGCTATTTTTTAACGAGGATGTATGTTATTAAAAATAGCAATAAAATTTTCTTTAGCATTTGTGGAAATATTAGCACCATGCAATGTTGAAAATAACATCATACACAATTAAAAATAGATCAAATATGGTTCTCACACCAGACTTAGTTTTTATTTGAACCGATCCATATATATATATGGGAAATACTAAGTTCCCGTTACGAAATCATTCCGTCGGGGTTTGTAACCGTTAGATCATCATGTAACCATCAGAGATAGTTGATCTAACGGTTACACACTCCGACGGAATGGTCTCGTATATATATTAATATACGCTTCCATATATATATATATTAATTGTACGACTATATATAAATATATACCTCTTGCACTTCGTCTCTCGTGATTTTCCCATCTCCATTGATATCAGCCCTGTACAGAAATAGAACTATATTGAAGATGCATACTTTCTATTTCAGGTGTTATAATATATTAATGGAAATTAGGAACCTGTAATAGTAATTAGAATTTTGAAAGAAGAAATGTGGTCCAAGGAAGATTAAAAGAAATTAACCCACATTCAATCAATTTTTTTTTTAAAAAAATAAATAATAAAAAATAAAAAAGCTCTTAGTGATCTTAGTGTTACTAGCTAGGTTACAGTTCATACATTCTGTATATAGTATTCTGATCAAGACTTTTATTACTACTCAAGCAGTCTATTTTATAATGAACATGAGGAAATTAATTTCCAATTGTATGTCTCTTTGTATAGATATGGACTTCACCAATATATAGTAAGTAAGGTTGTTGCTTAACAAGTCTAAAACATGAGTGTGCATTTTTGCTAAAAATAAGTACGACAAATCGACCACCTAATGGTTATGTCGTTTCACCCGAAAATGCGTATTTTTTATCGACATATACATGTACACTTTCAAATTGAAATGTTATATTCTAAACAATAACTTAATAAAAGTATGACATTTTATACTATAAATATGTATTTTTATTACATAAGTGTGACAAGTAGAGCTACCTTAACTTTGAAGCCACCCCAATAATTGATGTTCTAAAAATTGTTAGCTTAGCAAAATTCAACATCCAATTTGATTCCCTCCTAATTGTCCTAAACTATATAGGTGTACTAAAATGGCATTAAGAAATTCTATGGAGCTATCGGATGACTCCCTTATGAAGTCATCCATAAATTTATGTACTGACACATGTTCAATGTGCTTTTATTGCTGGACACGTGTTAATACATCATTTACATCATTTGTCACTAACTGTTGATAACTTTATATGCCGAGTCATTCAACGGCTCGATAGCAAAACCGGCATGGCATATTGTGAACACAAAATAAAGTTAGTTAAGTAAAGATCAAGTTTAAGTAAATACATAATTACCTAGCGAGCTTCAATTTTTGTTATCCCTCGAGTCCTCGACCGAGCATGTAATTTGCATGCGCGCAATAAATTAATAATTAACTAATCTTCTGTTTTCTCATTACTTCAACATTTCTTCTAATTTTTTGTTTCTTTCGTGAAAATGTAAATTGAGCAATATTAAATTATTAAATCCTAAAAAAAATTAAAATAAAAAATAAAAGA